CTGGTTTTGCAAGAAAAGATCATTCTAAAGGTTTAAAGACAGAGCATGTGCATTGCTCTGTATGCTCACACTACGTGAGTGCAGGATGCACAGATACGATTTCTCTGTCTTCACAGGTGAATTAAAAACCCCAACAGGTTGCTAAGAGCCATTTAGGGCTTTATTTTTATTTTATTTTGACCAGCCATCCATGTTCAGGGACAGGATTCCCCAGGACAGACGCCCTGTGGGTGAAGCCCACAGCCCTGGGGCTGGCTGGGCAGGAGGCAGAGCAGCACATCAGATACAGCAAACCCATGACCAGTGGGTCTAAAAATACACTCCTGGTATCACAGCAGGCCAGGAATAGACCAGGAAGGGAGGATGGATAAAGCTGTTCTGACAGGATTTTCTTTGTTTTATCTTTTCACACCTCCCCAAGGCTGCAACTGTGAAAGATTAACCCTGTGGGATGAACCTACGTGCCTGGCCCCGGGGGGACCTTCCTGCTCCCTGACAGGAGGGTGGGGCCAGGTGGGGGTCGGGATCTGCTCCCAGGCAACAAGGGACAGGACGAGAGGAAATGGCCTCAAGTCGCACCAAAGGAGGTTTGGATTGGATATTAGGGAAAACTCTTCATAGAAAGGGTGGTCAGGCATTGGAACAGGCTGCCCAGGGCACTGGTGGGGTCCCCATCCCCAGACAGATTTAAAAGCTGTGTGGATGTGGCACTTGGGGACATGGTTAGTGGTGGCCTTGGCAGTGCTGGGCTAAGTGCTGGACTCAATGATCTTAAAGGTCTTTTTCAAACTACACAATTCCACATCTTTCACTCTGTCTTCCCTGGCTGAAGGGACCAAAAACCCTCTTGAAAGCCCATAGTTATTGATCTGTTTGTTGCAGTGCAGAGAGGGAAAAGAGTGAGACCTGTCTCAAACATGCAGGGCTAAGTGTGAAGAAATGTCCCTTCAGGTGCTGCATAAAGGGCACTTCATAGGGAAGAAGTAAAGAGAGATCACAGCCACTGCCAGGTATCCTAAGGGCCTGCCATGAGGTTGGAATATCCTGCCTTCTCCCTGAAAACAGATTCACAACATGCATTCTGAGACAAGGCTGGAGCAAGAAACACGGCAGGTCTGGGGAGAGACCCAGCTTAGAAAAATCAACCCACAAAAAACCCCTCTATGAGACCATTCACAGATCCATCAGTTGATGTGAGGGCCAGGAGGGGCTGAACTGGGGTCATTTACTTTTATTGGTTGAATTAGGAGATTAAAGGTAAGTTCACAGGAGGTGAGCCCTCCACCCTGGCCAGCAGCAGCTCCACCAGGTACTCTCTGGGAAGCTGACATTCCCATGCTGAACCCCATGCTGAGTCCACCCAAACCCCTGGTAAGCTGCTGCAAAGGTGTTAAACACACCACGAGATAAAAACCCAAACCCCACCTCCAGCCTGAATAGCTCCAACATCCACTTCCAACCTTTCATGATCTTAAAACCAGCTCCTGCCCTCTGCTGAAACCACCTGTGTTGGTATTTATGGATGGATGCACCAATTCCTTGTGTCCTCGTGGATAAACTAAGTGACTGAGTCTCCTCAATCAATCCCCCAAACACAGGTTGCCACAGGGACTTCTCCCAGGTGCACCACCCCTATAGGGGACTAACAGAGATTTATCCCTCAGGCAGCACATCTTTTATTCACCCTGTCACCCCTGTCCAATGAGCCTGCATTGGCAAAGGCTGAATTTAACATCTTTCTCCAGTGTACCTCTGCTTAATATGCAAACCAGACAAATCAACTTTCCATTCAAGTTCATCAGCATTTAAATGAGGGCGAGTCCCTGCAGGGGTTGGACTCCAAGCCTAAGGACAAGGGGAGGAATTACAAAAATCAACACCCATGGTATTGATCACAAACTCAGCAGGTCCATCACTCTCCAGATCAGTGTCTCCAGTAGCTGATCCTCTCCTAACCTGCAGTCAACACACCTTCCCCGAGCCTGGGTTTGCTACAAGGGGATTTATTACAAGATGTGGAGGGAAGGACACTCCCATCCTTCCCTGCTGGAGGCATGCAGTCCGTGTGCAACTCTGGAACTCAGCATTCCAGGTGAGAAGTGACCCACAGCACGTGAGGTGCAACAGCACAGAGGAGCCTCACCTTTGCTTAGAATCATAAAATCATGAAGGTTGGAAAAGCCCTCTAAGATCACCAAGTCCAACCGTTCCCCCAGCACTGCCAAGGCCACCACTAACCCCTGTCCCCAAGTGCCACATCTACATGGTTTTTAAATCCCTCCAGGGATGGGGACTCCACCACTGCCCTGGGAAGCTTGTTCCAATGCTTGCCAAAAAAAATGCTCACAGAGAAACTCAGAGAGGTGAAAAGCTTGCTCCCACCTCCACACCCACATGGCAAATTCAACTGACCTCCTTTGGCAGAGGGTTTTGCACAGCCCCTTGCTGCCTCCACGAGCACTCCTAGATCTCCTCCTCATTCCTGTTTCCCTGCTTTTTCCTGCTCCTGACTCCTAAAGAGCAAAGGGGCTGGATTGCAGCAGAACCCTGACTCTGAGTGCCAGTGGGAGACGGGACATGTCCTGCCAGCGCATCACTGCCCAAAGAAATTAGGGAATTAGGGAAAAGTCCAAAGAGGCTACAATCAGGCTGTGTAGGGACCTGCTTTGTGTCTGTGCTTCCAGGTGAAAAGCCGAACCACCAGCAGGCGAGCGAGGAGACGGGGATGAAACAGGGCTCCTTATCCCCCCCTCCCTTCTTCTTCAAGGGCTGCAAAAGTGCCTGAAAATAGAACATTTTGTAATGGTAAAAAAAAAAAAAAAAAAGTTAAAGCAGTAGAACTGGGTCAATCAGCAAACGGGCTGATTTAAGAGCGAAGTCGCAGCGTTCGTAATGGGCTAAAAACGGCGCTGATGCGTTGCCGAGAAGGAATATAATTAAGAGGCTTTTTAAAGCGGCGCTTCCCCACCCCAGCCACAGAAATCACAGCTCACACTACCAGGATTGCTTCCACCTCATGGAGCAGGAATGCGCTGGCGTGCCGCAAGCTGGCCGAAGAATGCGGAGTTTCCGTGGGCCGGGAGAAGATCCCGAACGGCAGCGGTTCCCGGCATTCCTTCGTGGGTACATCACTGCTATCCAGTTATAAGGCACGGCAACGGAAATGGGGCTGGGGGGGGGGGGGGGGATATCTGACGTTTTGGTGTTTAAGGAAGGGGGTTGGGAAAGCTGGTGTGTAGCCCAGTGGGTGAGAGAATGAAACAGAGATTAAATAATGGGATGGGTGATGGGGTGCCTCTCACTGGAGGCTCTTCCTGGGGATGTCCCGGGAGGACCTAAGGAGTACTTATATAAGGAACACACCTTCCAACAGTTCATTCAAGAACGAGCTTCTTGGAAGAAAACTTTGCCCTAATTAGGAGCAGATGGCCCAACCCGAGCAGGCAGAGGGTACGGCTCGAGAACTGCTGAGCGGAGAAACTCCAGCCCTGCACTGCCCAAAGGGTCACACCAGCAAACCCTCTGCCCCCCTTCGGACACCAAACCCAAAACAGTGCCTCACAGAGGAACAGAACTTTCCTGGATTCTCCCAGGGCTGTACAACAGAACCGCAGAATTATTTAGGTTGGAAAAGACCTTTAAGATCATCGATTCCAACCCCAAGCAGGTCCTGTGCCCCTCAAAGTCTGCTAGAGCCAAAGGGCCACGAGGTCGACTACGGATCCCGTAGCTCCGGAAACCCGGCAAATAGTTGGGGTGAAGCCATTGCTCCATGTCCAAGGACACCGTCACGCTTTGGAAGCATCTCTGGGGACATCCCCACCCACTCTGCCCTGCCAGAGAGGAGCAGAGTGGATGAGTCAGACCCAGAAAGTTCATTCCCTCGACTTCTGCTCCTCGCTGCAATTAATCTTTGGGGTAATTAGATAAGCAGCCATCCTCTAAACTTAGTCAGAGCTAAACTGCATGTGGCACCATCCACCTTGGGGCTGGTGACCTCCTTCCTAATAGACACCTCCTTCCTAATAGACACCTCCTTCCCCATCCCACGGTGACACCCCTTTTTCCTCTCCATCTGTCCGAAACACAAAGTGATTTGGGACCAAGGAAAGCTCCACATCAGCTGTGGGTGATGGGGGTGAGAGGAAAAGGAGGAGACACAAAAAGTGGGGCAGAGAGAGCTAGCTGCTCCTCTTGAGAAACCCCAATTACCCCAGTTTGAGCTATTCCACCTCCCTCTAAATATCCCAGCGCGGAGCTGGTGCATCGGGCGTGCCAAGCCCCAGCAGCTCCCCGCTGGAAAATTTTGGCTGGTGCCTCCCCCTCCCTCCACACAAAACCCTCGCTCTCCCTCTCTCGCAGGCACGCACAGGGAAAGGGAGGGAGAGCAGAGCAGAAACCACAAGCAAATGTTCTGGTGCAGTATTTCCCCTCCTCAGACCCGTCCGCCCTACTTGAGATTCGAATCGTGTTTAAGGAATTTCAAAAAAAAAAAGAAAAGAAAAAAAAAAGGCAAAGCCCTTCCCCTGTGCCGGAGGCGGCTCCAGCGGGACAGGCTGCTCTCGCTCACCAGAGCAAACACAGGTCCCTCCACAAGAGCTTCCACAAACTGGAAAATAATTAAACATCACTGGGAAATCTAGTATTTTTTTTCTTTTTTTCATAATATGGAAAAAAATAATCGCGGCAGACGATATACGTTGGGAAACCTCCAAGAGTTTGACCTTTAGCTGAGCAGCGAGGACAGTCAGGCAAGTATGCCTGAGGACTGCATACACATGCAAAGGAGCTCCAGAGGATTTTCCAAACCCTCCACAAACAAACTGCACATCTCCTTAAAAAAAAAAAAAAAAAAAAGAGAGAAATATTTTCCCTATTTGCCTGTCAGGGGATGCTCAAGTCAGGGTTACACACGGCACTACCCAACCCTACAGTGCACTCTGGGAGGGTTTATTTCATGTGGACTCTCAGCTGAATAGGAGCAATGAGCCTCTCCCCTAATTTTAAGGAAAAAGGAAAATGAAAATGAAGGTTTAGATTCCTCATTACTCCAAGGAATCTTTTCATTGCTCTGACAATGAAAAGGAGTGCAGGGAAGTGTGGAGGAGAAATCCATTCATCCTCTGAGGGTCCCTGGCTCAGCCAAAATGAGATGATTCAGCTTAAACCCAAAAACCCTCACAGCAAAGCGACAACCAAACCCTCACTTGTCGTGGAACGATGCAGGGGACTCGACCCTTATCTCTGGAAAACTGGGATCAGAGGTAACCAACCCGATGTGACCGTTTCCATCCCGCCTCCCCTACAGCCGATGGAGCTGCACAATGTTTCCAGTGCTTTGGAAAAATAGTTTCAGGTTCTGCTGCCTCTATCTTGGCACCAAAAGCAAGTTTCCATTAGTGAAAGGCTGAGGGATGATTTCACTTCAGAGCTGAAATGGGGAAACCAGCAAAATGAGTAAGATGCAGCTCAACATACGCCGGGGTCTTTGTCATAAGCCTGTGCTGAAGAATGGGGGTGTATCAGCTTTTTTTGGGGGGGACAAAACACCAAAAACACAGAGGGAGGTGCTTTTAAAGAGGATTTTTGGTCTGTGTTCCAGCTAATCCACCACTGCCAGGGATCATCTGGGATGGAGTGGGATAGCTGGTGTGGGGGAAACAGCCCAGGAGGGTGTAGGAGTACCCCAGGATGGGCAGGGGTATGGGGAAGAAGGGATCCAGCCCGGGAGAACACCTCTGGATCCAACAGGGTCTCCCCAGGCAGCGAAGGTGCAGGAAGGCAGCAGACAGGGAAGACAGGGAAGCTGATCTCCGACTGGCTGCCAACGGACGCCGAGGTTATTCACGTCCAAACAAATAATTCTTCTATAAATAACACGGCTGCTCCGACTTCCTGAGTGAAACCCTTCTTTTCTGGAGCTCCCAGAGGTGGTGGAAGGAAATGGCGTCGGCTGGAGGAGCTCCCTGCAGGCGGTGGAACCCCCCAGCACCCGTGGGGGGGGATCACAGACCGGTTCCCTCAGAGCTGTCCCCGTCCCCCCCCAGAGATGGCTCATGCACGTGGGACACGCACCAGCTGCCCTGCAGAGCAGCTCAGTGCACCTCAAGGACAAAAAAACCCTTGTTTTTCCTTCTTTCCCGACTTTTTTCCTTCTTTTCATGCCACGACAATGAGCTTTGCAGTGGAAGCTTTTAAGCGACAGCTCCTCACGCGCGTTAAAGAGGCACCTTTCTGGCACCGCTTCTCTGGCCGAGCACAGCAAAGGCACCTTGGAGCCAAAAAAGCATCAAGAATCGTCCTTGGAGAGGAGCCAGAAGGTGCTGCCAGCATCTCCAGGCAGCAGGGACGCAACAGGGACCCAGGCCAGGCAGGAGACGGAGCTGGGAAAGGCGCAGGTATTCCTTGGATCCTCTTGTCTTTGGAGCATCTCGGTTCATGCTGCTGCTGGGCTGCCTGGAGGAGCCACGAGCCTCCCCACTGCCATGGGTATGGAACAGCAGCGGTCAGGTGTGCCTGAGCCCTGCCCTGAGGGAGCCACGAGGCTGCTCCCAAAACCTCCTGCTTCCTGAGGCACAGCCATCCGTCTAGACAGAGGACATTCCTCGCCCTCCACCAGCCCAGTGGTTGGTATGAGCCATGTCCTCACTTGCCAAGGGCAGGATCCAAGGTGAAATCCCACAGGGAGGAATCCTAATCCGCCCAGGAAAGTCAAGGTGCCTTTGTTTTGGCACCTGCATTCCCTGGACCACAGAGGGTTCAGCAGGAGAATGCCTGGGTGTCTCCTCCAGCCCCAGGAGCTCTCCATGGAGAGGTCACATCTGGCAAGATACCTTGGACACCTGGGATAACCAAGTGCCTGTCTAGATGCCCAGGAGGACACTTGCTAGGGTGGAAACATCCCTGGAAGTGTTCAAGCCAAGACTGGATGGGATTTGGAGCAATCTGGTCTAGTGGAAGGTGTCCCTGCCCATGCAAGGGAGTTGGAACAAGATGAGTTTTAAGGACCCTTCCCACCCAAACCATTCTGGGATTCCATGAAACCAAGCCCCTGAGAGCAAAGGATGGATCCTGCACCATTGCCCAGCCTAAAGATGCTACTGCAGCTGGAGATGTCAGGAAAAATGAGATATCCCATCTCCAGACATCCAGAGCTTCCGAGAAAAACACAAGATCTTCTCCAAGGGGTCTGACCCACATCCTCTTCTCTTCAGGAGAAAACCAGCACAGGTGATATTTCAAAGCAGAACAGCAAAACTGGCTTTTTTTCCTTCTGCTTTCAAGGAAAACCAGGCATCTGAGGCACACAAAGGCCTGAGTGCTTCTTCTCCTGTGCAGCTATTTTGTAACTACAACTGCCCACAGGTTCCTAAACCTTTGAACATTTGAGTCCCACTGACTTGTAACAGGTTGCAGACATGAAGTTATTTAAAGCACTTGTAAAATATTAATTGACATTTGCCTTACAGAGGGGGGGAAAAAGGGAAGAGACAGAGACAGGAACCCCAGGGATCCAGACGATCCAATTTCAGGCACCTAATTAAAATTAAATTTCAATTAATTTCCAATTACTTTATTTTAAACTTATTTTGTGTTTATACTTTTTTTTTTTTGTTAGTTGCCTAAAAATGAGTCTGCCCCTTTGGTTGCTTTTCAATTAAATATCATCCTGACACTCAAATTGATGCTTTTATTTGCTAACTCTGAGGTTATTCAAAATCCCTACACATTTAATTCAAGGACTTCAAGAGAACTTGACAGACAGTCCCCACCTCCCTTTTTCACTACGTTGGGGATGATGAATCATTATATTTACTACTATTTTCTTCGCAGTGACGTGTTAAACTTCACTCAAGTGGAAACCGAGGAGCGGAATGACAAGGTGGCTTTGGTGCTGTGGGAATACTGAGGGAGAAAACAATGAGATCAAAGCTTATTTTGCTTGTATTGTGCTTTGTAATTTTTTTTAAGTTATTTTTTCTTCTTACTTTTTTGGTCTGGTCAGTCTCAAGAGTTTAGAAGCAACAGATCTTTCCTTAACCCGGGGGTTGAAGAGGGAAACATCCTCGGCCTCGTCTCAGCCTTGATGATTTTCTTTGCTTTGAAGGGACCAGCCATGGAACAGAACCGGTCAATTCAGCCAAAAGGAGGAAAATTTAGCACTTCAACGACCTCTTTACAGATACTTCCCTATAAACTCCTCACCCCCAGCAGTCTGACTTGAAAACTCTGGCAGCAAAGAAGCAGCACCTGAATATTTAATGTGAAGCACAGCAACTCATCCCGGTTATGTTTTTACATTAAAGAAGGTTGTCATCACGTGGAGTCTAATTTTCATTCTTTCCCTGCAAAAAAACCCATGCCTTAAATAAAAATTAAGAAAGCCCTGTTTGTTTATCTGCCTTTTTCTGTGTTTACATCCCACACTTAGCCCGAATTCCCCAGCATTATACAAAGGCTGGGAGCTGCTGCGGAGAAGCCGGATGGCTGATGCTGTGATAAATACCTGGAGGCTCTCTGCCATCACTAATGAGTGAAAATATGTATAGAAGCAGGGAAAAAAAAAAAGCTTTCCAGAAGCTGGAGTTACAGTGCTCATCTCTGGAAGCATTCCCACTCGTTTTTGGAAGCATGCACGCCAGGGGGGGAAAAAAAAGAATCCAAGAGAACCTGTGGGCGTCTGAAGCCACCTCAGCTTTGAGAGACTGAAGATCTGGTTTAAAATTGGCAAAAACATCCTTCTGCAGAAAGACAAACTGCAGACAGACATGATTCAGTGCTGCTCAGGAGTAAACCTGCACCAGGGATGTTTGCAGGGAAAGTAAAACAGAGGATGTGACAGCAGAGAGGGAGCAAGAAGTGCCCCAGGAAGCTCTGCACCAGATTCCTTGCACTTTGCAATGGGGAACAGGTTTTTTCCTGAAGGCATTGCTGACATGTCAAGTATGTCTTCTTTGCCTCTTTCCTCCCCCACAAAAAACCCCAACAAGCACTGGTTTAAATCAGAGCTGCTTCTGTTCTGAACAGGGAGTTCCTGGTCACTCCAAGATCTCTCCTTCCGTAGGATCTGACGTTCATCCCTGCACTTACTGCTTGAGTGCAGCCACTCCGGGGTCACGGTGACAGATGCAGTTGCAGAGAAAACTGAACATCCAATAAACAACTCAGTAAAGTGACTTCCCTGTGCCAGTCCATTACATGTTCTTCCCAGGATAAGCTCCGTGTTGCCGCACCAGGCTGGAGCCCCGGGCGATGTGACCGGCTCCCGATGGAGCTGAGCCAGGATTGCAGGGAGCAGCAGGAGCTGTGGCCGTGCCAGATCATCAGTGACTTACCCAGGAGCACACAGGGGAACTGGTGGCTGATGACAGCAAATAAAACATCCCCACCCAGCCCAAGATGGGCACAGCAGGAGCTCCAACCTCGGGGAGTGGTGACTCCACAGCCGATGCTCGGATGTCCTCGATGCCACATGACAGTGTTGTGCCTGGCAGCTCTTTCCAGACACACCAGCCTGGAGCAGAGCAGCACGGCCCCACGAGTGACACAAGAACCTCAAGAGGCAGGACACAGCCTTGTGTGGTGCTCAGGGAGCTGGGGAAAGGGAACGGAAAAGCTGCCAGCTCCCAAACATCCTATGTGTGCTCCCTGGGCTGACACCCATGCAGGGGTTCAGTTTGGGAGGGGACAGGGACCCTGTCACAGCCCACTGCCATCCCCCTGCATGGCCACAGCAAGGACAAGGGCTGCCAGACTAAGAGGTCTCATTTAAATCAACAAAGGAGCAAAGATGCACGTTGTGTTGGGGGTTTTTTGGGGCTTGTTTTTTGTGTGCACAGTTGAGTGACACTATCGGGTCTAAAATCACTTCTGCATAGTTTTGAGTTGCATGCACCTTCAGTATAAGGAGCTGAAAGATTCCTGGCACCAGCACATGCCCCAGAGGACTGAAATCCTACATTTCCTGCCCCCAAAGGCTTTTCAACCCCTGGCAGACCATGGGCATTGCACGAGCCAAAATCAGGCTCCTGGTCACCCACCAGGGGATGGCCAGTTCCTCCCTTCAGCACAGCGACCACTCCGATGTAAAGGGCCACAAAAGAGAAGAAAAACCACCTGCCCCATCCAGCAAAAACTGGTTTAAAAACCAATGGAATAGGCAAGAAGTTACCACTCCCTTCAAATCACTAACGCGCAGCCCGAGAAACAATGTCAGCAAAACTGCAAAGCAAACACCGATTTTTGTTTTTAAACCGTGCAAGCAGCAGTTCTTCAAAATTCAGCTTTTCCCCAGTTTTGTTTTCCTTGTGAAATCTGTCAGTTTGAATCATTTCTCCGGATCAGGAAAAGTGCTTTCTGATCCTCCATCCCCAAACCCGACAGCTTTGCTCGTAACGCCTTTAGAAAGAAAGGAAAAAAAAAAAAAAAATCTTTCTGTTCTCTTACTCCATCCTCAAAGAGGCTGGTTTGATTCCTGATGCTCCAGCATATTTCTGTCTTTTACCACACTTCAAGGCTATTTTTTCCCTGCCAAAGTATGCAAGGAAAAGCAACACAAGCCCTGCAGCTTTGGGGGAAGGGCCAGCCCTGCAGCTCTTATTATCTTTGGATGGGAAGAGGGAGAGAGAGACAGAGACGTTGTTAATGCCTCAGATATTTCTAGAGCCTACCACTGTCCCACCAAGGAAGTCTGAAACATAAAATGCCATTGGAAACATCACATGGGGCATTAAAAAAATCCAGTGTAAGAGCCTAATTTGCTTTATTATCAGCATCTGGAGGTTTTTAGGTGCAGCCAGCTTGAAGATCATCCTGGTTATGCAGCTCACGTGCAGCTCTTTACAACTGAAACCAGCATCAAACCTTCACCTGGGGGGGTCACAAGTTCCTAAACACGTCTCTGGTATTAAACATTTTATGGACTTGAAGGTTTCCTTGCACCTGGGATGTGATGTGACATCCAGCTGCACATCCAGCCAGGGGAAGGGCGAGATGGGGCAAAACTCCAGGTCTGGGTCACTCCCCTACTGCTGACAATACAAAGTGTGGAGTCTGTGCACATTGTTATTTTGTGGGATTAATCCCATCCCCTCAGCCCTGAGCAGCAAACACAGAACTGCCAAGTGCAGTCTACACCAACTCAAACCACCATGGCTGTGATGATCCATCACCCCTAAACCCACAGTCCAACCACACGGATGCTCTTCTCCAATGATACATTTAAAATGGGGGTTGATATTAATTGTTCTGCTGAAAACTCAGACAGAGAGCGAGCAGAGCTTCAAGATTCACTTACTTCCCCCAGAACAAGACACCAAGTCCTGCAATCTGTTATCCATTAGAAAAGAAGTAGCCCAAAGAGATTCCCATTGTTCTCCTGCTTCTGGGCGTCGGTTTCCCAAACTTACATCTCAAGCCCGATGGGTCTGGATGGAACCCAGGGAAGTCCCCAGAAATGCCGGGCTTTTGGAAAATCAGAGTTTATACTTGGAAAGCATCACTTTATAGGCCTTGCTACCGAGAGGATTTCCCACACATCCTGTCTGAATGATCCCAGCACAAATCCCCTGCCAGGCTGAGGATGAGGCACCATGTAGGTCACAGATTAAGGGACACAGCAACCATATGGGAATGGCAGGAGTTTTGACAATGCACACACTGATTATCCTTAACCTTCCCAACTTCAGCAACAAGAGTCACAGGAGCATGGATGACAGAGCAGGTAAACAGAATGAGAGATTCAGAAACCAGGATGGTTTGGGTTGGAAGGGACCTTTAAAGACCATCTTGTTCCAAACCCCTGCCATGGGCAGAGACACCTCTCACTAGACCAGGTTGCTCCAAGCCCTGTCCAACCCCGCCTGGAACACTTCCAGGGATGGAGCAGCCACAGCTTCTCTGGGAAACCAGTGCCAGGGCCTCACCACCCTCCCAGCCAACAATTCCTTCCCAATATCCCATCTAACCCTGCCCTATGGCAGTGGGAAGCCATTCCCCCTTGCCCTGTCCCTCCAGGCCCTTGTCCAAAGTGCCTCTCCAGCTCTCCTGGTGCCCCTTTAGGCACTGGAAGGGGCTCTAAGGTCTCCCTGGAGCCTTCTCTTCTTCAGGTTGAACAGTCCCAATTCTCTCAGCCTTTCCTCAGGAGATGTGGTCCAGCCCTTTTACCATCTTCATGGCCCTAGAATACCCCCGACTCTGTGCTCCTCACATCCCTGGGGCATCCCCAGCCGTCAGCCCCCTTCAGTACAACCAAAGCAAAGCTCTCAGGTTTTCATCCACAGCTCCATAAAACAACGGGCATCTGTTCACCGACTCCGACACGACACAAACCCAGACTTTACAGAGTTTATCCAAGGCAATTCTTTCCAGCTCAGGAAAACCGAGGCTCTCCTGGCTGAAGGACAGTCCATGCTGTTGCTCTGCACGTCCTGCAATCCTGCAAACTGCCCCGAGCAAACGGTAAGAATACCGATTTTTTTTTTTTTTTCCCTTTTTGATCAGCATCTCGCTGAGATGGTCTCACAAGAGGGATCTGGTTCGGCTCTGGAGACCCACCAGGAACAGGACTTGCTGTGCCCATGGTTTGGGAAACCCCTCCTACCCCTCCACAGATGTTCCTCCAAACAGAACTGCTAACTGAGCCGACACCTCCCCATCCAGATGAACATATGGCTGTGCTTGTACCAGCACTGCTTTCATCGTCCCCACAGGTGCTCTAAGGACAGGCTGGACCACAGAAGGACCATTAAAGACCTTTTTATGGAAAAAAAATAGCCTTTGGGGTTTATTTTTCCCCCTGCAGAGCCTGCCCATCCCTGCAGTGTCTGGTTATGAGCCCTGGAGCCGTGGTCCAGGTGCCTGGCTTGAGGACACAAAGCCATCCCCTGCTTCCCTGGGTATCCATCTGGAAAAGGTCCAGAGAGCTCTAATTAAGCAAACTGCTCGTTTACCTTCACAGAGCTGCTTTTCTCAAGGGCTCCACTGGAGATGAGGGAGGGATGCTGTGCCCTGTGGG